ATATATATATATATATATATATATATATATATATATATATATATATATATATATATATATATATATATATATATATATATATATATATATACATTTCCAGCATTCTGATAACACATTTTGTAAAAAAACTAGGTTTTCAAAACACTGTTTTAATGGTGCATTTTGTTGTAAATCACATGCTAAGCATAGGAAACCAACATTTCAGAGAAAATATGTACATGATTATTTACATTTGTGAATGGAATTACAAGGTGATTTAATTTAATTAACACGCCAATGACAATGAAAAATGTATTCGCTAAGTGAGTGAAGGCTCTCTCTCTCTCAAGTTGGGGCCCTATTAAGGTGGGCCCCCGGGCAATTTAATTCCCCCTGCTCCCCCTCTCGGCGGCCATAGTTGTGTTTTGTTATACTACATTTTGATTTTTGGGTAATTAGTGGAGTATATTGTATATTCTCAAGATGTCTTGTCTTTTCGGAATTTGATTTTTACTAGTTAGTAAATCTATCAACTTCCACCAAAGAGTATGATCCGTATACCATTTTATAATCTGGCAATGCGTCAACATCTTGCCTCAGGCTGCATGTTAATGTGAGAATGGTGTCTTATTATAAGAGGGTGTTGTTGGGGTATATCGATCGTGAGTCGTGATTCACTCAATTTTGGCGTTATAGTCGTGAAAACACTGAAAAATTTACCGTGAAGCGTGAGGAAAAAAGTACTCATCTTTATCGTTTCAGAACACTTTTCAAAGATTTACCGTTAAAATACCAAAATTTACTGTTAAAATACCAAAATTTTTACCATTTACAGATTTTCAGACCCCCCCCCCCGATCTAGACCCTCTTATATAAGACTAAATTAAATGTTTTTGTAGCATGTGTATATGTAAGTGTCAATTACAGGTAGCACAGCTAGTTGCCATAACCTGTAGGTTTCTGGAGCCTAATAGTTTTTAGTCCGCTTTGATGAAGTCGACAAGCGCGATGATCTGACGAAAAGTATCTCTCCGTATGCCTACTGCAGGTTATGAATGCTCAAGTAATGAAAGTGGGAATGGTCATGATATTGCTGTTTTTCTCATACCTTGGAACGAAGACGATCTTCCTGGTAAGAGCACTTTATTCAACGATATTTTTCATTTCCACCCTGCTGTTTGGGAGAAAGAATTATCTTGCAATAACGAAGTATCAGAGGAGGAAGTCTTGTTTCATATTGATACTGGGCATACGGACCAAAGTAAAATGTGCCTAAATACAACATTTGGTCGCTTCCCGGAAGGCAGATCCTCACCTTATGATAAAGAAAAAGAAATTGAATTTTGCTCTTGGCTTCAGAAGATAATGGTTCCCAGCAGACGGTATAGATCAGGAGATGGTATATTGAATCCAGTGGTGCACTTTCTTATTACAACTCTCGCTCCTGGATGGGTTGGTGGTGCTTTGACTGGGGAAACGTGGACCTAACAAAAACCAGTCTGTATTGTGAGAACCCATATATAATTATAGAAATTGTAAAGCATATATTAATTAACACGGGACCCGGTTGGAGTTAATGCATGGTGTATGTCAAAAATATTCAATCCAATATCAAACTATTAGGTATTTCCAAAATATTTAATCGATATTAAAAATCTTATGTACATGCAGTTGTGAATTATGCACTTCGTTACAAACAGAAAATATTCTTTTTACATTCGTCTTGTTCTGCCAATTCGTTCCTTGCCTGGAGAGATATAGTTTGTTTTCGGTTTAGGTAGAAGATTGACTTCAAACCTGCCTCAGCATGCAAACTTTAATTCTGTTTCAGGACAACAGTCGGGGATCCAGTGGCCGAGATGCCTCGAACAAAATTCAAGAAGTTGTTTGAAGGATGTGGCCACCTGAAAAATATAAAAAAATACTTTATCTAATTCGGTTTGTTGCGAACTTTGCATGATTTCTTTAAATATCTTTTCATTAACCCCTCGTTAGAGCGGAACCTTTTCTGTAACCTTCTCAAATTCATTAATAATTCATGAGCAATTCAGCCAATGATAATCACCTATTTGATCACAAGATGCCATTTGGATAACCCGGTGAAACTTGATGAAAGTCACTAGTGTTTTCATCATATATCTTAATTACACAT